TAGCGTTTTCACCCGGGTACTGGTGGTTTACTATGTTCAGGTTCATTGTTGGTTTTACTAACATTGGAACCTATCTTGCAGCATTCACTATCGGTAAGTTTGGAACTTCGTGAGTCTGATGCATGTAAGGCCGAGAAAAAACGCACTTCGCTCTATTTCGGCTCTCTGTGAGCGCGCGACATCGTCTGCTGTTTGTCGACTGAAAGGATCGTCGTTACTAAAGATTGTTGCGCATCTGCACGTCGCGTCGCCTTGGCACAGGGTGTTCCCGGCTTAACATTATGGAGTTTTCGCAAGCTTATGAAAACGATAATGAGTATGGTTTCCTCATAATATGTAGACAACCCTTCCCCTTCAATAGCCTATTTTGTCACAACGTAGGCTATTCATGCCTTTTGCATGAATCAAGGATCATAGTCCGCTCGTACAACGTCAACAATGTTTTAGGCACGAATGACGAAAATGATGACATATTCGTATTCGCTATCGTTTTCGTAATGTTGCGAAATCTCCCTAATGTTTCCTGTAGCAAGCCACTTTTACGTTAGTTTCTTAAAAGTGTATATATGTTTGGGTACCAATGATGCTTAATCACGGCTAAAACCTACTTAATGAATGGAAAAGTTTTGCATATACGTATTTATGCGAACATATTTTCATATAATTGTTCTTAACCACCACGTGTGTATTGAATAACCTTCGATATTGTCTAATATCTAATCATTATTGGTTTTTTTGTTCTATTTCTGCAGCAACTGAGCTTGTAGGGCCTTCAAAGCGCACGTTTGTGGGAATGGTGATAAATTTCTACACGTCAGCTGGTCTCATCATTTACGGTCTTCTTGCATATCTCATCAGAGACTGGAGATATTTACAACTTGCAATAACACTACCAAATATGTTTTTCTTCTTTATAATCCCGTAGGTACTATTGTAGTTGCTATTGCTGTAAAAAAGATATGCCTATAACTATTAAGTGATATTAGACCCATTGTTCGCCTTTTTACAAATAATCAATAATAACCATTATTCTGTTATTAATATAAAAATATTAATATTATCGAAAATTATACATTAACTAATAACATCGTATTATTTTTTTATTATGTTTAATATATTTTAATCGTTTAGTATTTTTTATACATGTTGTGTTTGCTTTGTATTTACTAATATTAAAATTATTGTTTAACTATACCAACATTTCAACGGTTAATACTTTTTTGTCATAATTATAAGTATAAAATATAGCAGGTCTATATTTTAATTTATTATATTCACTATGTTTTGTTATTTTATGATTCTTATTATTGTCAGTATTGTTAAAAATACTGTTATTATTGTTATGTTGTGTTAATAGGCCTATTACAGTATTGATTAATCAAACTAATGGATCATCAATGCAATAGGTATTTACAATCTTTAATGGTGGAAATATATTTATACATTAAAATGTTTTTCCTAATCAAATGTTCAGTATTGTTCCCGAGTCTGTCCGATGGTTGATGTCACAGAAAAAATTTGATGAAGCAGAAGACCTTATCAAGGAATGCGCCAGGGTCAATAAGGCGGAAACTCTTCCAGAAAAATTGTTTGAAGAAGAAATGATGGTAATGTTTTGAACTTATTTGACTGTAATTGAGCATTCTATCAATACCCACAGTTCCAAGAAAGCAATCAAAATTTATCAACTAATCAGCAGTCATTCAATCAATCAATCAATCAATCAATCAATCAATCAATCAAAGTACAATAAACCTACATAATACACATACGATGTTTAGTGTTCAGTGACGGATATATTTAAAGAGAGATGAAACGTAGTAATCGATTGAGTGAATGGTTGATCGACAGATAAACAATCAACAATTGATCGATCCAGCAATCAATAAATTATCGATCAAGCAGTCATGAATACTAAATTATACACTATTTCAAACACATGACATACATGAAGACAAACCAAAATAATAAAAATAACAGGCCTATGCAGCTATAAACTATCCTTTGCATTTCCAGGTAGACCCAAGCAAGGGGACCACATACACCGTGGCGGACCTATTCAAAACTCCGAATTTGAGGAAGAAAACAATAAATATACTTTATAACTGGTAATTAATAATGAATCTAATTTGTGGAACTCAGAGAAATAGTAGATTTGCAGTGAAGTACGCGTCTGTCCTTATAGCTGAGATTTAAGTCACACAGGCTTACAGCCTATAATACTGTATGTCATCTAAACTAAATTGAGTCCTTACAATGCTATACTGTACTATATTCACTGTCCTATAGCACCTCTGTACTGTGCCGCACGTTACTACAATCATAATAATAATTATTAATTTAATATTAATGTACTATATAATAATATAATAATAAGACAAAGCCATATAATATTTTATTTGTTTATAAGTATATGTCGTATAACCTGCCATAATGCAATACACAATATCCGACACAACATTCTGACAGCCTCACAGGCATCCTGGATACACGTGGAACATTTCTGTTGTTTAAAAAAAAAAAAGAAGCTCTATTGAAACAAAAGTATAGGGTCTAAATGTTTTTTTGTTTTTTTTTAATTACTATAATATTATGTTATATGATATTTTGATATAAAAAAAACCTTTTTGCTTATTCATAGGATGGTGAATAGTCTTGTGTATTATGGACTCTCGTTGAGCACAGCTAGTCTTGGGGGTAGAGATTACCTTGCATTTATTCTTTCTGGTGTTGTTGAAATACCTGCATTCATAGTAGCTATACCTGCAATAGATAAGTTCGGTCGCCGCCCTGTACTTTGTCTATTTATGGTAATGGGTGGCATTGCCTGTTTTGCAACAGTTTGGATCCGTAAGTTTTAATTCATTATTAGAATATATTTATATCAGTCACCATGCTCGCCAAAATCACACAAAAATTTACAACAAACATGTAACTGGCAGTAATTGACGATTTTAATTCTGTATTATATGCCTTCGTTAAAACAAAACGAAAATGTAATTATTGAAAAAATCATTTACCTTAGCGCAGGTAACATAGAGAAACTTAAAACCAACAAACGCCCAGAACTGGAAAAATCTTAGCAGACAAACTGTCAAAGTAAAGAGTTAAAAACAAATTTACTTGTGACACAATGCAGGTTGCATCCGGTACCAAGAGGGCAGTAGGCATGTTCTGACATAAACCACCCTCCCTTTCTAAAGCAGGGCCTTCTCACTTTAAACAACAAACATAATCATAATTATTATTATGATTAAACGCCTCCGGAGCAGTTACATGACGAGTAAAGGACTCATGATGGTCCTGCCACAGATAATCAAAAGGGGCTGTGGACTAATGTTTGGGATATAATAAAAAAAATTCAGAGCTCAAACGTTGGGTGTTAACTTAAAAGTGTCCCTTCAATTGTCAACTAAATTTACTAACTTACACACTTATTCTTTACATTTTTTTAATCACTACAGCTCTTGGTTGGGGTAGGACGTTTGTGGCGTTGATCGGTAAATTTGGCATTGCTGGCTCGTTTGGCATTATCTATGTGTTTTCTGCAGAACTTTATCCAACTCCAGTACGGTGCGTTATTCAGGTTTTTGTTTAATGTTAATCTCAATGTTATGATAATTAACTTAAATTATTTTTTATAAGATTGTGAGATATAACCACATTCCAGACCTGCTTAGCTATACGTAGTGATTTATTTTTGTAGTTGTTACTGGCAATGGTCGTATTCGTCTATAACAGTCCTGCTTTTTCCTATTATTTTTATCATAATCATGACAATGCTATCGTCATTATCCATATTAGTATCATAACTACTATCATCATCATTCACAATCAACCATCAGCATAATTATTACCATTGTCATAATTTAAATTTCAATATTATCATCCTCATCATCATCATCATTATCTTCATCTGGCTTCTTCAACTTCATCATCATCATCATTAGCATCATCTACGACCATCACTGGCAATGGTCGTATTCGTCTATAACAGTCCTGTTTTTCCTATTATTTTTATCATGATCATGACAATGCTATCGTCATTATCCATATTAGTATCATAACTACTATCATCATCATTCACTATCAACCATCAGCATAATTATTACCATTGTCATAATTTCAATTTCAATATTATCATCCTCATCATCATCATCATTATCTTCATCTGGCTTCTTCAACTTCATCATCATCATCATTAGCATCATCTACGACCATCACTGGCAATGGTCGTATTCGTCTATAACAGTCCTGTTTTTCCTATTATTTTTATCATGATCATGACAATGCTATCGTCATTATCCATATTAGTATCATAACTACTATCATCATCATTCACTATCAACCATCAACATAATTATTACCATTGTCATAATTTTAATTTCAATATTATCATCCTCATCATCATCATCATTATCTTCATCTGGCTTCTTCAACTTCATCATCATCATCATTAGCATCATCATCCTAACATTTAACATAATTATCATCATCGTCATCATCATCATTTATTTATTTATTTTTTTTATTTAAAACATCTTTAGGCAGGATAACATATACAGGCGAGATCTTACCGCTGTTTTACAATATGGTCCTGCAAACACATATTACAATAACAACAACAAAAGTAACCATCACAGTTACATCATCATCATCTTTAATGTTATCTTCAATATCATCAATTGTTATATAATAAAAGTTTGCGTTTATTCAATGTACAGGAGTGTTGGTATGGGTATATCCTCCATGACGGCTCGTGTTGGAGGCATAATTGCACCCATTATCCTTGAGCTTGGCAAGATTTGGCCGCCTTTACCACAGACAATATTCAGCATAATGTCAATATCTGCCGGATTCCTGGCATTACTACTTCCCGAAACCCTCAACAAAAACCTACCGGAGACCATAGAAGATGGAGAAAATTTTGGAAAGTATGTATACACTACAATTATAGTCTTAGTATTTTAATTTTCCTTTTTAATACTTTGTACAAGAATATTGTTGATTTTTCAACATTCTTGTACCATTATAATAATATTAACTTATAACGAAACTATTAAGATGTCTCGAAGAGTGTTAAACTAGCTATTTTGTGTACGTGCTGTACTTTATCGTCTTAGAAATATTACATCAGTTGGTTAACTTATAGTAGCTACGACCAGAGCGCTGAAAAAGGTTCTTACTTCTATATCACTGGTCTCCGGTTAAATTTCATGACTGCCTTGTGTTTCAGCTAGAATGTTGAATTGAGATTTCCATCGTCCGGCCTGGTCTTGTATACAATCAGATCAATGAACGTAAAAAAACGCAGTAGGCCTACACTTTCTACAAAAAAAAGTTTAGTATCTAACACTGAGACAGCTCACTCCAATCTAATAAAAAATCTTCTTTTTTTATTTTATATGCTTTTAAATTATTTAATTAATTTTGATTTTGTGTTTAATCTTTATCATCACTTGCTCGCATATGGAAATTGTTTGTATCAAAGCGGCAACAGTTTGTATCAAGTAAAGTAGTTTCCAAAACAAAAAAATCTATACTAAAATATATGTCGTTTATTTTTTATTTTGCAGGAAAAAAACAATCCATAAAATGAAAGACAAATCTGATGTAGAAAAAGAGAATTTCAGTTGTCAAACAGAAATGGAAAGTAGTTTCACGAATAAAGCGTTACAGTTATAGAGTAGCAGTTCCAATAAAAAAAAAAAAAAAAAAAAAAAAAAAATTGTACATAAAGTAAGTCTATGTGATATAATATGTAAACAAAATTTCTACTTTTTTTTTAACGTAATCAAACACTGTGCCGTATGAGAATTCCCTTTATCATGATATTGTGTACCATATTTTGTAATTCTGTTATATTGGACAATGTTTTACCATTGTTGTAATCAATTTATTTCATGGTTTTACATACTTTGAATAACCATTGTTACGCCTGACCGCCATACCTAATGATAACGTGTTGTTATTGTTATTTTCGGAACAGAAAATAAACAAATAGGCCAATTGCTATATTGGTACTTCAATTTTCGTGACAGAGATGTTGATAATTTACTAATAATCACACTGTACCAAAATCATTAAACTCTCTGTGCACCATCTGTAAAAATTATGGTTTTTGAGGTAAAAACCACTGGTTGACTATTTGAGGTAAAACCACAGGTTAGTTGAATCAATACACAACCAAACAGTGGTTTTACCCCAAAAAGCATTATTACATATGGTCTACCGAAAGTTCAATGATTTTGTTACTGGATACCGTACTCGCCATACAAACCCTCAAGAAATACCTTAAATCATAATGCACTAATGTAATACAATGTAATATAATTAATATGTTGTTTAAATTTGTTTAAAATTTGCAGCAATATATTGCTATTGACTGAGATTTTTAAAATGTGAATAAATAAACTGTAAGATTATGTCTTGATTCTTATTTACTTATATGGTCAATGGTTGTGCACTTATAACGTATATAAAATAGTCTATATGTCTTTTCCAGGACAAAAAAAAAATAAATGGTTGAAACGGAAAAGAAAGTGGTAGAAAATAAAAACAACACAAATAAAGGAAAATGAAAAGAAAAACAAATCAAAAGAGTGGATGAAAATTAGAGATTGTCAAAATAATAAGATTAAAGACGGCTCTTCAAGATCATCAAATTAGTAGACTCTTGAATTGGTTTTGATAGAGAATTCCAGAGCTTGGGTACAACAACTGAAAAGGATCTCTCTCCATAAGTCTTCAAATAGCAAGTAGGCACATGAAGGGTTGTAGATGTAGTGCACTTGTCCTTAATGCCCCTTTACATTTAGCTGAACGGATTGTGATGAGTTTAGAGATGTAATAAGGAGTAAAATGGTGCAATGACCTAAATATGAAAAGGAGCACTTTGGACTTAATTCGCTCATTGATTGAAAGCCAGTGCAGTTTCTAGTGGGACTGTGTTCAAATTTGGGAATACTAGTCACAAGTCGAGCAGCAGAGTTAAGTTGCATTCGTAATCTTTGATAGAAGGGCACAAAGCAAACCGACTAGGAGTTTAGAAGTAATCAGAGCATGAACAAGTTTCTCTGTGGCTGCTTTATCAAGAAAATGTCTGATCTGTCTGAGAATACGGATAGCGAATAAAACTGATTTAGAGATGTTGTTGATGTATGATACCATTTACATGAGGTCGAAATAAAATCAAATCAAATCAAATCAAATACTGTACTACGCTAAGGTTACAGACTCTGGAGGATGGTGAGATTATAGTTGCCAGTGGTAGGATCATATGTAGTGAGGATATGAAGCTTATGCTTAGGATAAATGAACATGTTTTGTGGGTTTTTTTTAGCATTAAGTGAAAGCATTAACTTGCAAGCCAACAATGAACTTCAGAAATGCAGCATTCCATTTCAATAACAGAATGAATGGCATCATCACGTTCGAAGCGTATATAAATTTTAACTTTAATTTAACCACTGCTTCGCCGCACCGAATCTTATTTTGTTAACTGGAGATGTTTTCTGAGATTTTTAAATTTAGTCCTATATTCAGAGAATAATTAACAGTCGACATTGTAAAACCGGTAGAGTGCAAGTGAGATCATACTTGTAATGGGAAACAACATAACATTATTACAATGTACGTATAAGCGTCATAACCACTAGACCACGAAGGCTTCATGGTTGAACAGGTCTAGTGGCTATGACGGTCGCCTTGTCAGCGAGAGGTCGCAGGTTCGAATCCCGTCGGAGGCATTATATTACACAATGAGTTTTATAGGACTTTATTTGTTAAAGAGCTACAGGGTAGCCTACGATGTTCCATCATGTCCTTATTTAACACTGTATATGTACCTTTGATGATTTATATTATATTTATTCAGCAGTGTTAACGGCTAACTTCCTTCAATATCATATACCTGTCTCTTATACACATCTAGATGTGTATAAGAGACAGTGTAATAATTGCCCTATTTGTCCATTTTTAAAATACTCAGTACGTCCCCAAATACTAGCGAAAAAATTGCAAGTGATTCGGGTGGGTAAGCAACATTGGCTGAGATATAGTGAACAATAATATATATTTCGGTATTAGGATATACCATTTTCATGCAAACGGATACTGAGTATGTATCGATCCAGACGATTGAAACCTGTAATATTGCTCTACCTCGTATTTTATCTATCTTGAAGTTTTGTGAGTACAAGATACATAGACCTATTCCAAATGATATTTAAATTAAATCCATAATCAAAAGTTTAGATTACAGTGAGGGAAGTTAAAGAGATTTATCAATCTGTTTTGATAACAATGTTTGTTAATTGGGCGATATTAATACATCCCAACGCCGCATGCATTATCACCGGTCATTGGATGTAGGGTGATCTTATCCGTAAACTGTAGAGGGTCAAGTGTTATACAGATAGTATCATCAGTAGTTATTTTACACAGTTCGACCTTGTTACTAGGCACTCCGATAGATTTACAAAACTGAAAATGAAGTTTGATGAGATTCTCACATACCTTGGTGCATTTGGACCATATCAAAAACGAGTGTATTTCCTTGTATGTTTCATGGCCATTACTTGCGCTTTTAACCAAGTTGGACAGGTGTTTTTAGCTCCTGAAACAAACCATTGGTGTTCATCGCCCCAGCTTGAACGACAGGATTGCAGTCAGTGGGTAGGGGTGGATATCGACGAAGATACTTGCAAAGAGTTAAAGTATAATGCAACTATTCCTGAAGATAATGAGGACACAAACCTCCGAGAGAATAACTGCAGAAGGTGCGATATAACGTATTCTGAATTCAACGTCGACACTAAACGTTGTGAACTCTCCGATCCAAATATACAAAAATGTGAATACGGATGGGAGTATGATCGCAGCCAGTATAAAACCTCTGTTGTACAAGATGTAAGATTTCATGTTATTATGTTACATAGGCCTATAGGCCAATAGTTACCCGTAAGACGCATTTAGGGGTGCGCATGCTTCTTCTCCCACCCCAAATAATAGCTCTCAAGAAAAAAACACCAAGGCTCAAGTAGTTAAAAATCACCTCAAACATTATTTTGTGACCTAGCACCCCCTCACGTATTCATCGATCCCCTTCCCACTTCACATTGGCGTATCACACTAGCCTCTCCCATTTCAAGACTCCTAAGTACGCCACTAATAGTTACACATACATTGACATCGCATCTCATCGCATCATCGCATCTCTTTAACGCAATTCTATGAAAAAGAGGAGAGAGGTATTTGTCGGCCGATCGTCAAACAAGGTAGCAGGGGTGGCGCCAGAGGGGCTGGGGGGCTATAGCCACCCCGTTGGGGAAGCATAGCCCCCGTCGGGGGAAACGAGTAAATTTTGTCGGGGAATAAACAAATAAAAAAAAAAATATTTACATGGAATGTTCGTTTAGCCACCACATTGTTTTCATTAAACTATTTGTGATTATTATTATTATTATTATTATTATTATTATTATTATTATTATTATTATTATTATTATTATTATTATTATTATTATTATTATTAATATTATTAGTGTTATTATTAGTGTTATTTTTTATTACCTTATTATTTGCAATGCTGCTTTAACGGTTTTCTCGCATTTTTGTGTTTGTTTTGCTTTTTACGATTTCTCTTATTCCTTAAATTAGGGGCGGGCATAAAAATTGGTCGGAGGGCAAGGTGAAACTTTGATGTTTCCAGTGAGCTTCCAAAAACATCCAAGCACTGCTTTTACACCACTTATTCTCAGTTTTAATATTATTTTTTATATATGATCGGGGTCGGGCCCGTAAAAAAGGTGTTTTTTAGCCAATTTATCTTGGCGGACCGCAAATATAAGGTTTTTAATTCATTGTCACGGGCTGCAAAAAAATCCATGTCGGACATCGGGCGGGCCGCATTTTGCTTAGGCCTATGCCTTTAATTTTGTACGTCAATTTTTGTATTTTTATTGTCATTTTACTGCCTTTTTGATATTTTACCTTTGTAAATCCACGCATTTCATCTTGTTGCTGCTATGGCCTCTCATTTTATGCATATTGAAGATTGAATAAATAACCTCAAAATAATAAATATTTTTCATTATACTGTATATATTATTTTATTCTTAATGTTATTATTGTTGATATTGTTATGTTATTAATATTATTGATAAAAATATAAATAATAATAATAATTATTGTTATTATTACTATAGGCCATATTATTATTATTATTGTCGTCGTTGTTGTAGCTGCTGCTGTTGCTTGTATGGTTGAAGTAGTAGTCCGCCATTTATAGTTGTACAGTATGCAACCACATCCCTAGTATTTTACACTATTTTCCGAATGTTCAGCCATGAAATGACTAGAAAAAAAAATCTGTCGTTTCAGTGATTTTGCGGACTAACACGGCCGGATATATTATTGCACGCTTCTGAACTCGTCATCTGTCGTTCAGTGAGGTAAATTAGGCTTTAATAAAAGGTTTGGTGATACTAGCTATTTTACGAGATGGAAATTGTAGAAGTCGTCTCGATGATGTTCGTTACGGTACTTTCTATGTTTTGTATGATGTTGAACTTTGTTATTGTTCTTGTCATCGCGTTGAATAAACGTTTTCGAAACTCCTACTATGCTTACTTGCTGAACTTAGCGATAGCTGATTGTATGAAGTTTTGTGTATTTCTGATTGGAATTCTCTGCATCTTGTTTGAATTGAAACCTACATCAGGAAGTATAGT